TTATTTTTCAGGTCAAACTAACTGCAAGCTGGTGAAACCAATGGCTAGATGTATTAAGAAAGCAGTGATGCCAACAAATCAGAAGTACTTTGTAGTCAGAGATAAATTACTGCAACAAGATGTTGATAGTTTCAAAAACTGAAATAGTCCACAAGGTTCCGTTCATTAAATCGTCATCAGGACATTAGAAGAACGTTTATGAGGTAATTTCACTCTCTACACTTCGGGTTAAGAATTATGTCACGAAACAGTTAGGTTTGAGATAACTGCCAATTTTCTGAATAGTCATTCAGAAATTTGTAGAATTCTGAGGATTTGAAGGCTATTTGCTCCAATTACTGAGACCACCTAAAGAATGAGTCATCCAAACCTGGTGTTGTTCAATCGTGTGCCTATTATTTTTTATTCAGAGTTGTACTTGAGAAATTTAGGCAACGTAGTAAAGCATTGTCATTTATTTCTGGATTTAAAAGCGTCGTCTCAGTTTTGCATCGCGCTAAGTGGAAATAGTTCCTAATATTTCCGCACAGTAGGTCATCATCAGTGTATACTTAGAAATACCTTTAGACCAGCATTAACAGTCAAAGTTATTTTGCAAAATGTCAATGCGATTTTCGGTAAATAGTTAACCAAGTCAACCGCTTAAAACTATGCATTGTCTGGGTTGGTATGCTCAATAACAAAAAGAGTAATCAATTGTCTAGTGTTTAGATTACTTCAGTCTGGTTAGCATCATGTGCATATTAGTGTATACACCCTAGCTACGTACATTTATTTTCTCCGTATTATGCCTTCAAGAATTATAAAACATTTGTTTATCATAACAAAGACACTCATAACCATCAGCTAAATGACACAATAGTTGCCTGAGAATGTTTCAAATTTTATTTGACTTTCCGCTAATGTTTTTTTTCCGCAAAACATAAAAAATGACTAATGGATATTAAAAGATTAAAGGAAGGCCAAGTGTCCTTGTTTCATTAATATAAGTGAAAAACTTGGGCACTGTGGTAGAATGTAGTTCCATGTTAGATTTGTTTATTTGATATAAAGCGCACAAGTGTCCTTGTTGTTTTGATTAAAACATCACATATTTATGTACTTTTCAAGTAAGCATATCTTTTGACAGCTTAGTAAATACTGTTTATATTTTCTGCAGTCAACTTACATTGAAATTCCTTTAGGAAACGTTTATCACGTATCTTGAGATGTTTAAGACCAACTAATACATCTACCAACACAGGAGAAGTAAATAATTGTAGGACAACATTAGATTTTTCAAAAGAGTTCTTTAGAATACTGTGCAGCAGCTAGTTTCAACATTTCAGTCGTAATAAGTGTCCTATAGGTGACCCTTCCTAAACATTCCAGTATTTGAATGAAATTGAAAACAACTAATTTCGCCTAGTATTTACATAACTGCGGATCATTAGATATTCTGAAGATCTGAACTAATATCATCATGAAATTCTTCATTATCATTGCTTCGGTAGCGAAACATGAACACCCACCACTTAACATTATAAACAAGAAAAACTGAGCTTATTTTCGCCATTTATCCAATATTTGCGGAGCGGTAGCTTAGTGGTCTAAACACTGGAATCTGAATCCATCGAGCTGAGATTTGGAACCCATTCAGAATACTTTGATCTGAATAGCTGATTGGTGTTGTAAGCTGTCAAGCAATGTGTGGCTCGTACTCTAGTTCACAAGACATGCGTTACATTGTTTGTTAACTAATACTGGTTCAGAACAAGAGAATACGCCATTTATGATTTATTGATATTCATATATAACTCTTGATTTTTCTGATATCAAAAAAAGAGAACAAATACTCTAAAACCAGAATAAAAAGTTACTTTTCAAGGCATTCTCCAGAAACACAAATATTTTTAGTGAGTCTAAAGGAAATGACTCGATTGAACATCTTTGTTTATGATGATGTCATTCTCACTGGTTAAACTATAAAGGCCGATTTTCAGTGCCTTCCACATTAAATGACAAAGAATATCAAAACAGTTCTTATAATTACATACTAAAATAGTCGGTAATCAGGAAAGCAGTACGTGAAGCAAAGTTACTTAGGTAGCATTATGTAACTAAATAAGTAATTATAGTAAAATAAATGTGAGTCTAAATCAAAAAAGGAAGAAACCGTTTAAAAAAGAGAGTAAGCGGCTCTCGCAGGTAAACTAATAATGAAATATCCTATTAAATAACATGAGTAATTATAAGCCACTCAGGCTTATCAGTAGATTGTTTTAGCCAGGTCAGAGTAATCTAAATACTGGATGACCGTTTCGTTCGTCTTGAGTAGAACCAACCAGCAGTATGCCCAGACAAATTCAGCTTTCATAGTCGAGCTGTTCAGATAAGTTGAATATGGATAGCTGGCTTACAATGGTAAACACACTTTGATTAGGATGACAATTTCGCAAAAGGTTTCCAAATTTCATCGTCCACGTTTGTATTTCTCACAGTTGAGTAGTTTTTCAACTGCTCTACAGTGATGTTCACTAGGTTATTTATCTACAAGTTTTGTATACAACAAGCGAAGGGGCACTTTGAAATTATGTGACTAAATTGTTGGCTTTTTTTTCATGAAGTGCTTTCTTCGAGAAGTGTCAAGCGCGTAGAAACAAAAGTTTTAATTATAGATGTAATAAACTAATGAATATAGTTTAGATCTTCTTAGATTTTTATTTCATAGAATCCTTAAGACGTTGTCTTATATACCAAACTGTGTTAATGTATCTCATTTACAATTTTTCAAACTATTTTTGTATACTTATCCATCGCCTGGATGTTTAAGCATTGTGTACTTGCTTAATTTGCCTTACTTAGGCTGATCCTATAACTTTGTTGAATTTGAAATGGACTCATCAACTTTGTGTACATTCGTGCAGTTGAAACTGAGCCACACCTCTTGTGTAAGAGCTAACGATACTACCTGGCTCCTCAAACCTCTGTAGGTGGAGCAAGACTCGAACCTGTGACCCACTGGTTGGAATTCATTTCCCTAAACCAATGAACCATAGCTTTACATTGTATAAAAATAGGATGGTCATAGACTATGAGTACTCATAAATTATTTAGAAATAAAGATGGAAGTTCGCTTGTTCCTGTTAAAATTGATGCGCTTAAAGTACTTGAAATCTCAAGTATCCCCCGATATTACTGATTTTGATGTACTAAAAACATCTGACTAGTCTTCTTTAATATTACCGATTCGTCTTATGAAAGCATTTATAAATCTGTTTACTTGATAAGCATAATATTTGTCCATATCATTAATGATGAGCAGAAAACAAGTTGCATCGTCGTATATAAGCATGACTTGCAGACCTAACCGGTTGAAAATTTATATGTTCTCTTTGAAACTCGAATTACTAAACGACGCCTGAAAACGAAATTTTTTTTAGCCAAACTGACATGAAGTGAAAATTACTGGAGTTGTAAGAGCGGAAGGATGTCTAAAGGTGACATTAGATGACAGTCAAAGTACACTGTGAACTGAAAAGAGTTAGTAAAATGTGGACCATTGGATTTCATCCCAATGGCTAAGTGGTTACACCGTTGCCACGAAACTCTAGGCATAATCCTCAGTAGGATTGTCAAGATAAACTATGTTTCAGTCAAACATTATTCTGAAACAGCTGCTTTTTATGAATGTTCTGCCCGGCTTCAATCCGTAGTAAAAACTGGTTACGCAGTGCATGCCACTGATTTTAACAACTGGAAACCAGTATCGAATTACCTTTGTTTAGAAAAAAGACAAGCAAACTAATCAGCCTAAATGCTGGCACAGAAATGACTCAGCTCAAGCTGCCAAACTTCATACAAGCATACAAGCCAGAAACAGATAGGAAAAGACTGATATCAACGTTGACGACTTGCATAGGAAGGAAAAGTAATGAAATATATAAAAACCTGTGAGAATGTTCAAGCTTCGAAGGTGTCAGACAGTGAATACATCCGGACCATTGTGGCCAATTTAAAGCCGTCTCATAAACAGTCCCCAACTACTGATTCCCATTATCTCAAGAATCTCAACTAGACAGTCTACACCTCTTTACATAACTCAGCGTATCAGTTGAATACTTCAGCTTACATTACACGCCAAGAAAGGTAGTGGCATAGAGTGCGCAGAACATGTTCAAGCCTTCTCAGTCGGTAAGTGTTCAGATTTCATCGACCTACTCACCTTTCTTGTCTAATATTTCCGGCCCAAACCAGCCACTGCTTACTTGGTGGTCCTACTACTCACAAGGTAAAATTTGTATTATATTCATATTTTCTTCTTTCGGCGACCATTTCTTACTCCCGTATAATGGGACAGACTGTACTAGAGATTCGTTTACTCATCTTTTAGTAGATCATCAGATATTTCGTTGTCACTATCAATGGTGTAAGTGGGTTAATGCTGAATTCATCTTTTGTTTCTGAGTTGAGACATCGTTAGTAACTCATCTAAGCTGCTGCAACTCTCAGTGCATTGTATCAATTCTCTCAGTACTGTGAACTAGGAGTTAGTGCAGACCAGTCCTCAAGCACCATCTTACAATTAACAAGTGCAAATTGCTTGTAAAACGTATGCAAACTTCTGCCCAAGGTATTTCGAAAACTGTGCATTTTATCACCTTTTTCAAATCTACTTATAATTACTCATTCTTATTCACTCATCAGTCGAGAAAACTGTATATTTCCTTGGCTAGCACTTTATACATATTTTTATTGATATTAGTCACTGTGAGACATCAAGACGGATCAATTTTTCCTTCGCGTGCCTCAAAGTGGACAGATGTTTCTATGCCAACGCTGTGTAAGGGTTGAAGTTAAAAGATGATTTAACCGAATAAATATCAAAATTTCAGTGCCACCAAACTGACATCAAGCGTAATTGGACTCAAAATCCATGTTGTTAGCTACTTTTTGGGGAGGTTATCATTTGATTCTCTGCTCAATCAACCTTTGTTTCTCTGTTTTTCATTCATGTGAAGGTTTTACAGCTTGTCAGTCAGTATACTGAGAAATTAGAAAGTAAATTGGACAGATCACTGGGAAGAATTGAAGTACCGTTGGATGCAAGATTTGCTTCAGTACGCACACAAGAAACAAATATTGGAAATCTTATTTGTGATATAATACTGACTGCTGTTTATGCAAACTGTGTATTATGCAATTCTGGTTCTCTAAGAGCTGATCGGATCATTGAAGCTGGAACATTCACCCTACGTGACTTGACCAGTATACTACCATTTTTAGACCAACTCGTCGTCATTGAAATAACTGGCCAGCAGTTATTAGAGGCATTGGAGAATTCTGTATCAGAATATCCAAAATGTGAAGGTTGGTGAGATGTGATGATATACATGTTAACACTTCTTTTTGAAGGGATGTTAAAGATTCTGCGAGAAGCATCTGAGTGTTCCTTTTTATCAGTGAACCAATCAGTTGCTATATGTTTATTGAAGATAATTTTTATCAAAAATGTATGTGAGGTATGGAACTATTGTAAACAGTAATTTACCGGAAATATATTACATTTTGGTGTAGAACTTCTTGACATTTCATAACTAAAACGTATGAAGGATTCAAATCAAGACGGTTTGACGACAAGATGCTAAATAACAGTCTTAATTAGGTTCCAGTACTGATGTGTTGGTAAAACATATATAAAGAATTTGAAACCATCAATACATAAGCAGATTTAAGCATGAAAAATAATACAGGCTTTGTAATGTGAAGTCTAGCATATAAAATAACTTACCACTGCAACCAGGACTTCAAGGTAAAAGTACATCGGAGAAATTGTGTTTCTATAAAGTAATGATATTAATAAAGAAATAAATCTACATGTATGATATAATTTAACAAAGAACATTCTTTAGTCTATACTGCATTGAAATCTATTCTGACTGATACTGAAAATATATGTAAAAGATTAAACTGAAAGACTGGGTTCAACCCCATTCTGAAGTAACCAGTTCAAGACACACAAAAACTTCTCAGTCAGCCCCAACATCAAAAAAGAAGCTTTTTCGAATATTTTTAAGGACTTATGCATCATAAATCTTGGTCTTCTGAATATGTCATCACTGAGCAACAGTAGTTGACCGTTCTTTAATAGGTACTACAACATTCATTACTCCTACGAATGAATGGTATTTCAGATAACCGATTTCATCCTTCTTTAGAACAATTAACCACCTTATTAGAAAATGCATTAAGAAAAGTAGAGGCGTATTTCCTACCGTAGTCAGTAGATAACTGTGTATAGTTAAATTGTAAAAGGATTATTTGGGACTTATAAGTGACTGGTCAAACAGGAACTACAACTAATTTATTTACATTTAGTGGTGTGAAGCTATAAACCACTCAAACATTTATATAAGTTCAACTGGTCTGAAGTTGTTGTTTAAAACATTTATTTTAGAAAATATTACCATGGCAACAGTGAGAAAGCATGAGTTTAAGTGAACGCGTGTCTTCATCAGAGTGACTTTAAAGAATACCTTAGCAACTTTTAAAACCAACCAATCAGATTTCAGAATTTCGGTTGTGAAAATAGTTATTCATGGAACAGGGAAATGTGATTGCTTATCTCAGTAGTTGTTCGCCAAACCTATAAAATCACTCTTGCATTAACTTCTACTTGTAAATAAAATATTTCAGGCATAGAACAATACACATGTCAAGTGGTTATATGAACTTGAATAGTTACGGTTATCTGTATATCTAATTGGTGTTGAGGTCAAGATTGTGTAAATGATTTCTTACAGGGTTTCGAACAACTAATGGTTAATAGTGGATATCAATTCTATCCAAAAGTTCATGTAATAAAGACAGTTATTACTATTATAGAGGACTAAAACTGAAATCTAATGTTCACTTGATCATATTTTGCAGTGGAAGAGAGGAAGTAATTGGTTACAAAGTATGAGTATACAGATGAAACAGTCCAAAACGTTTATGTTTTGTAAACTTCTGGTCACAATTCTACTGGCTGAAACTGATTGTAATACCAAAATATCAAATTCAGCAGGTAACATTTACAAATTTAATTGCAGACTTTATAAACAATGGGGTTAAGAAGGGAGATTTCAGTCTTGCTGCTAATGTGCACCTGACCCTAATTATTTGTTGAAAAGCACAGATATCTTCATGTATTCTTAGCACCCTTAATACTGTCGATGTATCAGTGTCAGACAGTGTTAAAATAGAAAGATGCAAGCAACACAGTTCAATTCAAAAGTCACGGTAGATCAAAGTTCCATCACCATTTGAATAAAATACGTGCAAATGCTTGCACCGAATTGTAAACTGTACACTTACACTAATCCTCATCAGTTACATACTTATTGTAAAGAAAGGCGGTTAGTTGACAATGTCTAATAACAGTTAACTATTCTTCATTCAAGAATGTATAATTTTCACATATATTTATTTCATTGAAATATTTCAGGACGTTTTCCACTTATCGGTGGTATGCGTTTCGCATTTGATCCATCTAAGCCAAGCGGTACACGAGTTGTCAATGAAAGTGTTTCAGTTCAAAATGAACCAATAAATATGAACCGGAAGTATCGTTTATGCATAAAAAGTTATCTGTATACTGGAAATGATGGTTATCATGTATTTACCAAGTGTCCACTTTTACTGGATGAAGAAAAATGTCCAATTCTGCCAATACTAGTACAGAATTATTTTAGGACAATACAGGTGGGTCATCTGTTGACTTTCATTCATGAACAGCTAGTACTAAAATGAGTAACCATAAAGAACACCCTAGCAACAAGTGAAATAACTAATTAGACTGTTCAATTTCGCGGAATTCTGCCTTTCCAGCGCAAATGGAAAAACTTGATTGATTGTTTCAATTGCCGCTAGGGTGACCTTTAAGGTCGCCCTAATAAAACAGACCTATTGTGTATTCACTTAACAACAAGTAAGATGGAATGTTTTGTATGCTGCAGTTATTTGTTCACCCTCATGGGTTTTCTGATTTATGAGTAATCGGCACTAGTAATCAATCCTATTTCATGATGAGACTCATTAGTTAGTAATATATATATATATATATATATATACATATATATACATATATATATATACATATATATATATATATATCTTAAGATAGAGTTAAGGACTTTTGTGCTTCATAAAGAGCGTATTGCCGATCAGCATATCGACCGGATGGAATCTCTGAGGTCAGTTACTTTCAGTTACCCTCTCATTTATGAAACAAAAGTCCTTAACTCACTATCTCATAAGGTATTGATTATCCAGAAGTTATAACGAAACAATTGCAAGTTGCTCTTAAGCTCCAGTAGTTCTTTAGGTTGTTCCCCTCTGTGACAAAAACGAATTTTGCAAATAATAATTACTAAAAAAAGAAAAGTGTAATTGAAGATATCTAGTATGATAAGTTTATTTTAGGAGAACAACTGATGAAGTGGTTATCAGAAATTTATCTTCAGAACCAGGGACACTTCACAAAAGAACAGTCGACTTTCATTCCAACTTTTCTCTTGGTTTTCAAGACGCTTCTTACATATGAAGTGAAGGGATTTCAAATATGTTTAGGACATTGAAAATCATACCCTTAGAAGTAACTACGATTTCTCATTTGTTTACAAAATCAAATCACCACAAGTTCTTTCAAGCCAGATAATTTCTAATGGCATTCAATACTGGTTTTCCATGGTAATTAGTTACTTACAACTAGTGCTTCACTATTATTGGCTCTTTATTACATTAGTTTCAGATGACATGTTTCGCTAAGAGGTGGGCTACTTTTATCTCAAAAATAATATAAAACAGTAAATCCCTTTAATCACCTTCAACAGTTTAATTGGTGAACGTTCATCTGAATAATGCGATTTCTTTGCTCAATACCTTTGGAACTACCTGCCTTCAGGCTGAGATTAAGAAAATATGTACCTTAACGGCTTTAAAACTCGTTGGAAAAATAAGTTTTGATAAGTGCAGGTGAGAGAGGACCCTCTTCATCTATAACTAAAAATAATATAGGAACGGATCTCGGACTTCATGTTCAAGCAGCTTTCAAAGTTTTATCTGGAGACAATCATGAGGGTATTCTGTGACTTGTTGCAGTGGTAGCTATATGCAAATCGAAACCACCTGTGTCGGCATAAAACAATTTGTTCCTACACTTTACCTACCTAGGTAAACTTAGTTTTGTCACGAAGACTAAGATTCAAAATCTCTTCTAGTTTGAATTCTCTATTATCCTGTTTGTTTTATTTGTTCTCTCACTTCTTGGTTTTATACAAGTTGACTTGACAGGTAAGTGTGGGACTAGATTCTTCGAAATATATTTGGCAAACTTATCTCATTTTTTAGAAGAATTTTATCTTCTCAACGTACTATAAAAATTCATAGACCATACATCTTGCTGAAGCTCCAGAATTGCTGTCCCAACTGATCGGCTTATTGATAAGGTTATATTGGCTTATTTAATACGCAAGCGTCTAACTAGACACGCACGAGTACACACTTACTATGGATACTAATATGACCTTTATAACATCAGTTGCATTTGCTGTACGTATTTCATCTTCCACAGTACTTTTCTTTTCATCCATTCAAAAAAGGTAGTTGGAAAAACAAAAGCACATAAATGCCTTTCCTTTCAGTACAACACAATTTTGCCTTCTGACTTTATGAACCCATTTTTTCATTAGTCAACATTCGGATATTTCTTGGACATGCACAGTGAACAAATTGCTGTTGAAATTTAAAAGTTGTTGTCAGTCCAGTCTTATCAACTACTTGTTAAGTTCATCACCAACCAGAATGGTATGAATCTAAATGTGCAATAATAAATGACAGCTCAAGTTTCTAGGGGTAGGCTGATATCTTTAAACATACACATTGTTCTTACCCATGATTTTCATGCAGACAAGCTTAAAATGCAGATGGATGTGGGCTTTTTTCAAAAGTTTGCAAACTTGAAACATGGAAATTCAATGCATCATGGTGCTGGTTACAATGAATGAAAGATACTGCGGTAGTATTCATCACGAACTGACATCAGTTGAAGAACAGCTGTTTCATCTTATTGAGAAACTCCAATAGGATGCATCCACGTCCGCACCAGGCCCTGAAATCGGGGCTTTCAGGTCTCATGAAGAGCATGTTAGCCACGTCAGCCACTAAGTCAGAACTCAGTGGTGCACGCTTTCTGTCAATATACATCGTGACTACTCACGAAGGTCTTCATTTGGCATCCAAATCACCTCCGGCTAGTTGACTTCACAGATCACAGTTTCTGATTAAAACCTCAGGATATCCATCTCGAAGCTTGTCACTAATGAGCACTAGACAGCAATGTATTTTCAGATTAATGGATGCGTACTGCAAAGGAGTTTCATACTAAAACAAAGCAACTGTCCACTGCTCTGAGGTATTCGATGGTTCTCTAAATGGTCAGCCCCGTCATTAATACTTAAAAGAAAGATAACTAAGGTGCTAAGCTCAATCGAGCACAATATTTACAGTATTTTGACAGCACAAAAATTATCCTGTGGAATCTCTAGCGATTTACAGAATCTCCCTATGAGCGAGACTGTGTGAGGTTAACACCAGTAATAGTGACAATTTTCGAGCCAGTGGTAACCTTTTTGTGAAGTGGTAACTTAAAGTTCGCCGAATGTTTGTGTGCCTAAACGTACAAACCATACGATACAAATAAAGCACTCAACAAACTTGTTTACTAATAGGTAAGCAAATTTGGGAACCTTACCTGGTTAACTAGTTCACTTATTACCACCCGGTCCTAAACACGGGTAAAGAGGGAAGGTTGGTCATAGGCCTAACAGCCGTACCCCATAAAAACAATCCAATCGCCAAAGAAGCTTCTAAGCACAAGCTATAAAAAGCAGACACAAACTTATTCCTCGCTGGAATCGAGGAGATGAAACGACGCCGGTTGGTGAAAGCCTTCGGGTAGCCAATTGGCCGATGTGACTTCTCTCGATGAAAGCGAAAGTAAACGAGGGGACATGGAATGTCCACACCACGTATGAACCAAGCACAGGTTGCAAAGAGATGAGAAGGTATCGCATTGAAGTGTTAGGAATTCGCGAAAGCAGATGGAATGGAAGTCGACTCTCCAAACTGTCAACTGGAGAATTAGTAATCTACTCCGGCCACCCAGACGATAACCATGAGCACACTGAAAAAGTGGCTATTATAATGTCCACAAGAGTATCCAAGGCTCTCATGCAGTGGGAACCAATCTCCTCCAGGATCATAACAGCAAGCTTCAACTCAAAAGGAAGAAAAGTCACAATCACACAATGCTATGCACCTACAAATAATGCAGAGCAAGAGAAGGAGGGATCTTACAGACAACTGCAATCAGTACTGAATAACACCATACTCCAGTTGGCGGCATCAAAATTCTAATGGGGGACATGAATGCAAAACTGGGAGCAGACAACACAGGAAGAGAACTCATCACCGGTCGAGAAGCGCTCAGTGAGGTGATGAACGAGAATGGAGAATTGTTTGCAGAATTCTGTGCATTCAACGACTCAGTGATTGGAGTCAGACAGTGTGTTCAAGCACAAGGATATCCACAAAGCGAGTGACATGGATTTCACCAGACACCAGGACATACCACACTAGAAATCAGATGGACTTCATCTCAATCTCAAGATAGTGGAAACGCAGCCTACTTGACACAAGATGAAAAAGGGGAGCAGATGTAGGTTGAGACCAGCAGACTCTCTACTGCAAGGAACCTACATTCAAAATCAAGTTGAAAGCCTTCAAGGAAGTTGGTGATAGACCACAGTTGAAGTTTGACACCCGGAAAATGAAGGACGAAAGTACAAGGAATATCTTCACGGCAGCCGTCAAGACAAGTAGGAGATATCGAGGAACATCCCTGAAGGAACCTGTGTGGATGAACACTGGAAGTCTTTGAAAGCTATATGGAAAGAAACCTGCATAACCGTATTAGGAAGAAAGAAGTTGAGGAATGGATCTGGATGGACACATGGAAGCTGATAAAGGAGGGAGAGGAGGATGGTAAAGCAGAAGATGAACCAGTGCAGGCAGGGAAGAACAACGAGAAGAGGAACTGAGTACAATGTATAAAACACTACACTGGACAAAGAAGAGAAGAAGAGTGCAAGCAAAGACAAAATACACTTCTACGACACATTGACAAGTGAATCAGAACAGGTTGCAGGTAGGAGAGATAGAGACCTGACAACATTGTATCAAATAACCAAAATACTATCTAGGATGAGACCAACTCAGATGAAACCAATGGAAGATAGTGAAGGAAACCTAGTTACCAAAGAGGAGAAACAAAGGAAACGAAACGACGGTCCGACCACTTCGAGAAGCTCTTGAATCGACCACCACCTGCAACTCGTCGAGAAATACCACCAGCAACGACAGAACTACAAGTGAACACAGGCCCTCCGGACAAGAGCAGAATTCCTGAGCACCATAAAGCTACTAAAATGCTGGAAAGCAGCAGGACCAGGTGGAATCTCGCCAGAAGCACTGAGAACGGTCGAAGGGACAACAGCAGACGTGCCCACACCACTATTGCAGGAGCCCTGTAAGGAAGGAAGGAAAGGTACCTACCTACTGATTTGAAGAAGAGCTACCTTGCCAAACTCTCGAAGAAGGGCGACTTAAGTGTTTGCAAGAACTGGTGAGGAATCATGCTCCACACCTGTCCACCTCAAGCAAAATATTAAGCTGCATCATCCTGGAGAGACTAAACAATGCGCTAGATTCAAAATTACGACCGAAACAGGCCGGTTGGCTTCAGGATCAAATTGCAACGCTTTACATCATCATAGAACAGAGTACAGAGTGGCAGTCAACTCAACCTCATCTTCATCGACTTTGAGAAGGCCTTTGACAGCGTCGACCGAGAAGTAATTTGGCAGTTGCTTCAACAATGCGGAGTGTTACAAATTTTTATCAACCTCATTCAACAACTATATGAAGACGCCACATGCAAGACGATCCACAGTGGGAAGCCCAGTGATGCCTTTGAAGTGAAAACAGGAGTAAGAAAAGACCGCCGCCTACTGTCACCCATGATCTTCCTGATTGTGGCCGACTGAAACGGATCATGCGGCAAACAGTGAGGAGCAAGAAGAGAGGCATACGCTGGACCGAGGTAAAGACCCTAGAAGATTTGGATTTCGACGGTGATTTAATTAAAATGTCGCACAAACTCGAAGGTCTACTGACAAAAGCTAACAAGGTAACAGAAGAGGTGGCGAAGACGGGACTTTAAGTGAGCGTAGAGAAGACGGAGGTGATGATGATACCCAACTAACGTCACTACCAACAACAACAAGCTTCAATCACCTACCCATCTAACGAGGCAGCATCGTTTCAACTACAGGCGATGGCACAGGCACAAAGGAGAACGTCAAAGCCAGGATCGGAAAAGCAAGATAGGCTATCACTAATCTGAAAACGGTGTGGAGATCTTCTGCACTCAGCATAAAGAACAGCATCCGGATTTTCAACACTGAGTCAGTCAGGTCAGTGCTTCTATATGGTTCAGAAACTTGGCGTGTCACGAAAAGCATTTCTAACAAACTGCAGACATTCATCAACAGCTACCTACTCTCACTCAATACTGAAGATCAGATGGCTAGAAATAATAAGCAACAAGGAACTCTGGCAACGAACCAACCAAGAACCCATCACTCAACAAATATGCAGAAGGAAGTGGAGATGGATTGGGCATAGGCTGAGAAGGCCGACTGGTGACATCACGCGTCAGGCCCTCGAGTGGAATGCAAAGAGGAGACAACGAGTAAGGCGTCCGAGGCGAGGATGACATGGAGGATATCGTGCGAGGAAGAAAGGAGAGCTTCTCGGCAGTTGTGGCACCAGATTGAAAAGACTGCAGAGAATAGATTGGAATGGAGGCCTGTTACTGAAGCCTTTTGTTCAACTAGGAACTCGAGAAGAAAAATTAACAATAATAATAATAATAAGCAAATTTGGAAACATTGGTAAAACTTAGCCAGTTGGATTTCGACAATGGCTGATGATTGCAGATGAAATGAAAATTTGGACCACAGCAGGATTCAAACCAGCAGCCTCCGGTTAACCGGCGCGATGCTGTGCTAACTGAGATGCAAGATCCAAGGGTTTTGGATTTTATTACCTGTCTAACGATATTTTAAGTTGGCAATCAATTCTATTCAGTAGAGTGACAGTACAGTAAGAAAAACAATATTCTACACACCTAACTAATTTGAACTAAATCGGGGAAAATCAAACCAACCATTTGTTAAAATGCAATTGACTAAATCACTAGGAGATAAGTATTCTTCGTCGTAAAAGGCTTTTTTTCATAATGATGGGTCATTATAAAATAACCAATTTTGTCTCGCATAATTACCAGTATTCATGGACATCAGTTGATCACCATATTTAATATGGCCATCACAGACTCAGAAAAGCAATATCACAGAGTTCCGTACCTTAATTTCAATTACTGAAGGCAATCAGAAGTAAGGTGACCTTATTCTAGGTTTTCCGTATGTCGACAGTAATTAATGCGATGTATTTGCAACATTGAGAGAACTGATGACTTCTCATAACCTTTTGGGATTTCACACCACCCTTTCAATAAATCTCCTGGTTATTAACTTATTTACTCTTTTGCTTGAGGAAAATACTTCATTATCGATGATTCCCAAGTTTCCGTGCAACGAAGATAATTTCTGTCTTCCGTGAGTTCAAGGTGAAGATGTAAATGTGTGTGCACATTTGAATGGGTATGAAGTTGAGAAAAATATACTAAAAAAGTACTAAAAATTCAGTGTGTTTGTGTACTTTAGTTACAGCTGATGTGTGTAATGTGGTATTTAGGATATATTGTCCAAGTTGGTTATGCCTTCCTTTCTCATGAGTGAAATGCCCAGCTATCCGACTTTCTTTGCAGTTTGAAAAGTCTTTTTGAATAATTATAATATTATCAGTATCAATTTTATTACTATGATAGACAGCATGAACAGCAATTGTTGATTTGATTTGTAAATTCTCTTGTTCTTCAGGATTACTTAGCAGTCGTTTTGTGCAACTTGCATGTTCTTTAGCCTGAATCAGTGTCTTACGGGATGACTTTTCAGTATAATAGGCGATACAATCAACGCAACCTAATTAGAAGGCACAAATCTGTATAGAAGTAAAAAGAATTTTATCTTTTAAGCGAACTTACGAATTTCTGAAAGTGTTAGTTGTTTTGTAGAAAGTTGCATTGTGATGTTTTCTTAAAGCTCTTTGTAACTCTTAAGTTGTGACTTAGTGGAATGGTAGAACTACTGTGCTAATCCAAGACTCATCATGTGGTTTTCATCTTGAACCCATCTTTTCATGATTTAAATGGCATTCTTAGAGTAATTATTGAAATGCAACACATCAATGTTTCTGGCTTCAATTTGTCTGTCGTCTTCATTCGTGACGAGCTTTGTAAGTTTTCCGAACAAGTTCTGAGCAAGTGAAAGTGTAGCACTGAGTGAAAAGAGCTGAGTTGATATCACGATATGGACTTGAATGTGCTGGTATACGACAAAACAATAAACTTAGACTTCTCTCAAGCATTTCTTCCAAGTAAGCATTCTAAGAATGACAATTCATCATTTTCACTTTCATTTCACATGTGAATCGGATACCTGGAGAATGAGTATTAACTAACTTAGAAAAAGTTCTGAGGGTTGATTTCTAAAAAAATTACAAGTTTATCATGTATTTATCTCAGCCAAATAGGTGGTTTGATAGTATGAGCAAAGATCTTGAATTCAGTATGAGACATGAATAGGTTGGCAACGATAGGGAAGACCGAAGAACCTGCCGCCGATCCATAAGTTTGTTGATATAATTTTTCTCTAAACGTGAAACATATTGAATTATGTATGGATTTTATTCTCTGAAGAAAAGACTTCCACGTGATCACGAAAATTCGGAAATTTATTTTTCTGCCTTATTGAGATTTTATCAATATATTTCAATTATAAACCATTAGTATGGTTCAAGTGTTTTAATCTAGTTTTCCAAAGCAGATGAGAGGATACTAATACATCCCGAAACTTCACAAAACATTTCACAATCTTGTGTATTTGCTACTTATGGATTTCCTGTGACCTGGTAAATAAGTAGGCAAAATGTAAGTTCAATAGTTTAACGATAAGTCTTACGATGAAGTTAACCTGTAATATAAAGAAAGGGACATAAACGCAATATGCTCCATATTTAATTAGTTCATGGAAATAAGGTGTGGAGGAGATTTGAGTTTACTGAGAATATGATTTTTCACAATATCAATTATCAGTCACTGGAAAATCCTGTAGCCTATTAAGCTTATCTGAAAGAGCACTTAGAAGTAAAAACAGAAATCCAGTGCTATTTCTTGCGAACTACTTAGTCTTATTACGTTTTTCAGTTCATTAATACTTCTGTGCTAGGGGATGCTTATTGTACGTCCAGTTTTTCCGTTGTATACCACTGTTTACCGTCTAACGGTTTGTAAATGCAGTCTTCAATCCAGTTTCAGATATCAAAAGTTTAAGTTTGACAGTCAGTTCCATCCAAATGATAAGTAATTAAAATATGCCAATTATTTATTTGAAATCTGCTATTTGTTTAATTTTATGCCTAGATCTTAAAAAAATGCAACTGAAATTTCTAATAAATGCACTGAATGTTATTTATTTATTGTTTTTAGGTTCTTGCAGGATTTGGACGATTTCGTACACGTCATCGTCAGAGTCTTATACCGATGACGGAGAGACATAAGTTAATGAAAGAATCATGTCCTGAAAACTCATCATCTTCAACAAACCCATTGGATCCTACTTCACGATGGATTAAAGCAGTGCAATTTTTAATTGAAGAACGTGAGAAACAAAGCGCTATTTTAATAGCACCTGTTGTAGATGGACGAATCAAAATAATTTCATCATAAAATTATCATCCCAATAATAATCCCTATATCCTTTTATTTTATTAATCGAACTTGATTCTTTATTTAAGTATCTTATTTTTACTTCCACTTTAACTATATATTTATACAAATTATTGTACTAGAGTTTTATTTGTTTTAGTGAACTAATCTAACTAGCCTACACACTTAAACAGTAGCAATACAACTGCTTAAATCTAGCTTTAAGGTTTATCATGCACAATGATGGTTTGCTAATGAAGACTTCAGAAAGTTCTGTTCACGACAGCTGTTCATATATATGTATGGATATATATTAGACTTAAACAAACAAACACATGTGACTAGACAAGTCACAAAGGTGAAGATATTGCTTCAATTTAAGAAAAGTATTTGGAAAGAGTGAACTAAGTACCGGTAAGAAAGTCAAACGTTAAATAGGTACTATTCAGACCAACAAGAATTGGGGAACTATTGAAAACCTAGGAAGAGCATACAGTTATTTTGTCCTGTCACGCCATTCCTCAGCAGTACCTCCCATGACCCCACAAGGTACCGAACTCAGGGCTTTCGGGTCTCTTGGCGAACACAGCCGCTCAGCCACCCAAGTCAGAATTCAGTGGTTCGCCGTTTTCTTTTTCTGTCAATTCACGAAACATATATGGTGACTATTTACCAAGGTCTTCAGTTAGCATCCACTTTACTTCCGACTGGTTGTCCTCACAGATCAAGGCTTCTGATAAGAACTTCGAGACATCCATCTCGAAATTTGTCACTGATAGACACTACATAGTAATGTATTTTGAGGTTTATAGTGATTCATTCGCTAGTTTCATGAGATCATAACCAGTCCTTTCAGGACCCATTACCGCAGGGACGTTTCATTCCTTCATAGCAAAATTGATAAGATTCTGTGTATTAGCAGTACAGATTTGTGAAAAAATATACTTTTTGTCATATGTAAAACCATATTATTTAAATAGCGTAAAGCTCATATCATATCTGATTCACTATAGAAATATGCTTTTACCAAAACTATATATTGACCGATTAGTTTGTTGGTAATTATTTTATCTGCAAAACTAATTGGCATTATGATAAAGGATTTTGTTTTAGAAGAAAATTAAGAGCAAAGTTGTATTTCAAAGGTGACGTGTCAAGCAGTTGTTTAACAGTGCTGTACGATCTGTCGTATCAGGTCACTGGGGTTCTTTAAGAGGACCTTTCTCATAACTGTCAGGCCCATAATCTGATATTTTCATCACTAACCTCTACATATGTTGTTTACCTAATAATAATCGCTTTATTTCAAACAGTGTGATAGAGTATGGAATTCTCAGCAAGTAATTTCCTAACAAAGTTACTCTAAGAACAATATTTTCAGACAAAATGGTTGTTGCATCTGAATGATGTTAATAATAACAGTATTCAAGGCAATAATGTGAAACGGTCGGCTGGTTTTGAGTTAGCGTCTCGCTAATAATGAAGAAGCAACAGAAACCCTGGTGTAAGTTTGGTGCTGGCGATTCATTCAACCAGTAAAAGAATTCGCAACTCAAGTTAGGTATCCAAGGGATGGAAATATGATGTACTTTTGCCCACTGAGAAGTTAACTTCCACATAACCTGATATTTTTACTGTTTTGTAAGTAATCGGAGAAACAGCGAGCTGAAAACATTTTTAAAATTTGTAAGATTACACGATACATTCGGAGGATATATTCAACTAATTGAAATAAATTCAAAAGAAAAGTTTTATGTATATGTTTGATGGAAAATTTTGGTCGCCGTAAGGTTCAAGCAGGCCGTCGGATGGTCACCTTTAGATGTACGAAAATAGTTCAATATACTGCCATGGGCGTTTGATTATACACTTTCGAGATCTTACTTCTGTGCCCCTTGAAGTCCTTGAGGGGCCACTAATATAAGCATAAATATAAATAATGTTTGCATGACTCTAATACCAATGTCTTTTTGTCAATCTACTTAAATGGGAATAAACCTGGGAACAGTGCAATAAAATCACATGGTAGTTACCTAAGTAAAATAGGATAAATCGAACGAAGTTCTTTAATGCACATATTTTATCTTTATTAAAACATAGCATATTCAGAAGTAATCATACCATGCTTGCAAGATATCCTGACAAGTCAAATGTGTTATACTTTGTAGGTGAAACTATGACTTTAATAATAAATAGACTGGGCGTGCACTTTTATTGCTGGTCTTGTCATTAGTGGGCGATTTCTTTTTTCACTTAACAACCACTGTTCTGACGGGTCAATTAAGCTATCTTTCAACTGGTTATTTCATATAGACACATCAGTTTGACACTCTGTTGCAAGTATTTCCGAATCTGATAAGCGCTTTTGACTACTAGACATACATCATTAAAACAAGGCTGACTTATTCATCTTATGTAGATGAGATTTCTTTCCTGTCAGGCTAGGAATAGCTTCATCATTGAAATCGTTGAGGTTACCAACAGTCCTCCAGATGATATCACTTCATAATAGCACAGAAGTAATTGAATGTGGGCTGTTGGGTTTTGACCCAGTGGCTTAATGATAACGAGCTCGTCGCGGACCCTAAACGTTCTTCTTTCGAGCCCTGGTGAAATCGTGGGTATACACTACGTAGGAGTCACATACTAGGAAGAAACAGCTGCCTAGTCCTACTAGGTTTCCAACAGTTCTGTAAAGTATGCCGGTTTCTGATGAATACTAACTTTGAAACTAATTTATTTGTGTAAACGTTGCAGCCACGTCATTGCGTTATGTTACATGAATGTGGCATAATAATCGATTTTCTAATTATTTATTGTTACATAGAAAGGTAAGTGAAATTAAATCTCACATACTTACTACCTGAATAGCAATTCTGTCGTCATTGCCAACTCGCTTTGAGAAGCTTTGAGCGATAAAGAAATCAAATGTGAGGACATCTGACATTATCTTACATGAATTGTTGAATTATAACCCTTTAACTGAATGCCAGTGGTTAGTAAATGTGCGCAGCCATTTAACTATTGTGTTGGTGTTACATAAACCAGCCACTCGACATGGGCATGAAGTAGATTCGAAACCTATCAACGAGTTTATAGATGACTGGACAAGATGTTTGAGGAAATATTTCAGTAAAAGTGAAAAGTAATTGTAATTGTAACGTAAGTGAAATGAAAAAAGTGGTTAATTACTGTATAAAAAACAAACACAACTCATTTATTGTGTATATGAGTAGGTAAACGAAGTTCAAGATAACTAAGTGATATTAAGATTGTTGTTGAGCAAGCGATGCGTAAGCGTTTGAACAGACCTTTTCTTTGCATAACTCTACAACGTTAATTCCAAAAGTGAAATTCATGTAGTATTCGAAATATGTTATACAACGAAGAAAGCCATTTTTATGCCTACTCAAATACGAGTACGCCACTATTGAGCCAACGACAGTCCCTTATGTGATATTTAGTCAAAATATGAACGAATTTCTGCCTATCTTGATACAGTTGAGCAATGAGTCATTTACACAGTAGATATACCTGTAATTAGTTTTCTCTTTGGGAAGTTGTAATGAGAGAAAACAAGTGTTTATATAAGGAAACTATTCATGTTGGCATTTAGTAAACCTTTTACACTTATGTAGTTGGTATATTGTCAAAAGATTAGAAAACTCAAGGTTCGAATGGCTCACATAGATATTTGTTTGACGAACTGTAGACCGGAAATAAAGATTCCTTTTTTCTTCGTTGTCATCTGCGAATAGTAGAAACCAAGTATACTTTTATGTTGACTATTTCTTTCAGCCCATTATTTTGAATCACCGGTACACCGTAAAGTTTAATATCATACAAGCTTGGTAATATTCCGTAATCGTATAATTCAATTTTAACTGAAATTTCACATGAGTATAGAGTAAAGAGCAACACAATACAGGCAGTATGCATGTATATACAGCAATGTGTGATTGTAAACTATTCAAAGAATGAAACTGCAAAACATTAAACCCTATTCTTCTACTTGAGACTCTTAAGAAAACATCACCAAATGAATAACACTTTTTCGTTTTCAAGCCTTAAATAAAGGAATGTGTATTACAGAATTACTGACCCTATGATACTAAAATCACGGTTTCTATGAGTTTCGTTTTAGACTGACTTCCATATTTGCTAAAATTCGTCCACATGACGCATCATATATCATATAAATACCATGCAAAACACCGGAAATGGTTAGACTGAAACTTTCATTTAAGACAAAAAGATAACTCACTAACTATATATTTTATTTGATGGAAACTAATAAACGAAAAGCCTGGTTTATATGAAATAAATTAGTTTTTACATAATGATGTATATATCTCTATTGTTTTTCATGTTTATTTGGTGAATTATACGTATATAATTGGTCACCTTAGCGGAGGTTGTAAAATCGCAGGAAATATCGAGGTCAGATTCAGGATAGGATGAAGTGCCTTCATCTGTTTAACTTAATAGCCTTTTTGTGAAAATGTTTACGAGAAAGTAACTTGGTAACTGATAACTCAGAGTACCATGACATTTGTTTACTACTTATGTTTGTGTGAATATATTTATACATTCGCTTCCAAAAATTCGGTCACTCAAATAGTTGGCTAAAAATTCTTATTGAAACAAGCATTTTGAAAACAAATCATCGAACAGATAAATATTTTTTACTGGTTGATAATTGAAGGTAAAATGAGAATTTGAATCACGACAGGATTCGAACACTCAACCACTTGGCTTGCGGCATGGTGTTCCACCAACTGAACAGTGAGACATGAATACCAGTCAGGTCTTAGTTTCTCTTCAACTACCAAAGGTATCGTAGCACAGATGATAGAGCAGTTGACCGATATCCCAGAAGTCGCTGAATTGATACTTGCAGCTGCCTAGATTTCGGTTTTATATTCAGTCATCACCGAGTATCTAAGCAAGTCCATCACGCCGTGGCTGTATCAAGTAATCAAACTGATAAAGAAGTATTTCTCATCAATTAGTTTCTTATCCTTACAGAAAGGATCCTGTTATCACAACAGTATCTCAGAAAACATGCAACGTGATGACATTTGTGGTACAAAAAACAAATAATTAGTTTCTAAATAAAATAAGAGGGTGACAAACAATCACGG